AGCAATTTTCGAGTAGCTCTTATCATTAGGAGACGAGCGAAAGGTTGTTAACGCCATGATCATAATCATAATCTGGCGTTGTCGCAGGTCGATTCATATACGAAATCGAAATATAATGGGCAGATGGACTATGATGTGCTGCCCTGCTGGTCCGATAGTGCAAAAACTTTAATGCAAGGGCAGAAAAGTCTATCGATCTTAAGTCCATATATTGTGGCTCCAACCACTCGATTCTAAATTGTCATGGATTTGGGGTGATTTGGGGTGACCCGTGTTGCAGCGGTTCGACTTCGCAAAGGGCAAGCAGCTGTGCATAATTGTCTTCAATCTGGGCATAGGGTTTCCCAGTGCACATCCTCTAAGTGCAGAGTTTGTTCACAGGTCCACCACACACTATTGCATCGATAAGGCTTGCACTCAGGGTAATAGAGAGCAGGCTTCGTCATATCCTGCGCAGGTTGAACGTGTTTCAAATGAGCCTGAACACGTCATCCTGGCCACAGCAATGGTTCGAGTTCGAAACAGGTTTGGCCAATTTCAGTTCGCAAGATCACTATTGGACTCAGACTCGCAGGTCAATTTCTGTCCGGAAAGCCTGGCGCAGTCTCTAAGGTTGTCAAGGGCTACCGTTGCTTGAAAATAACACACAATAACAGTGAAGTATCGACTACAATCTACTCGAGGTTAAATAGTCCTAGTTTCGTCGCCCAAACAAGTCCTTGACAAATGCAGAATCGAGAGTGCTTATTTCTGGACGGACTCCGAAATAACGCTACATTGGATAAAGACTCCGCCGTCGTCGCTTGATGTTTTCGTGTCAAATAGGGTAGCCACAATTCAAGAGCTATCAGAAGGTATTACATGGCGTCATGTGCCTTCGCTGTCGCATTTTAACATCCCAGCCGATGTCAGAATTCCGAGGTACAAAAGTCCGCCAAAGTTTTTATTGGTGTTGAGGACTTTCCCAATAAGATATTTGCTCGTTTTTCGTCGTACACTAAATTAGTTCGAGTATTTGCCTATGTGTACCGTTTTTAAAAAAAATAAACAGGCAAAAAGAGCGCTCCAGGGAGTTGACTGTAAAGGAGTTGCAGCAATCGTCCCTCAAACTAATGGAGCTGGTTCAACCAAGTGTCTTTTCGCAGGAGTTTAACCAGTTAAAAAAGAGACAGGCTCTGCCGCCAAGCCTGCAAATGATAGAACGGGTCCAAAAGATGTCCGAAAAAGGGAGAATGATTTCGCTTATCAGGGTGGAAGGCAGGTTGTTGCATGCGCCTGTGCCACTTGAGGCCAAGTTTATAATTCTACTGCCCGCCGAGAGTCACTTAGTCGAACTGTTTTTGAGGAATTTGTGGTGTGGATTTTTGTAGTCGACGTCCGCCCGTCAAAATGTATATAGCGGTATTTTTTTGTTTCGCTTCTAAGCTCGTCCATTTAGAGCTTGTTCCGGACCTGTCCACTAATGGTTTTCTCATATAGTTTAAAAGTTTCATCGCAAGACGTGGCATTCCGCAGAGGTCCCGACAACGGGACCAACTTCGTCTGAGCCCGGAACGAGCTGAGGAAGCTGCAGGAAATTTTTGGAGGAGCAGCAGACCAGCCTGCGGAGGGGTAGAGTGAAAATTCATCCGACTCGAGCACCGCACTTCGGCGGTTTGTGGGAGGCGGCGGTCAAGTCGGCGAAACAAATCAGCGTCCGACAGATCGCCAACGCATCGCTCACAGAAAGCGAAGTTCCGACGGTGTTGGCCGAGGAAGAGGCCATTCAGAACTCCACGCCACTCAGTCCGGCCAGCACAGATCCCAACGATGGAGAGGTGCTTACGCCAGGCCACTTGCTGATAGGCCAGGCCTTTTGCTCGCTGCCGCAAGTATTCGAGCCAGACGCACGGAGCAGCGGTACCACCTTTACCAAGAGATGTCATCTGCTCTCAGAGCTCAAACGTCCACAGCCTCCAGCGTCGCAGCAAGTGTCAAACGACAGAGCCCAACATCGAGGTCGGGGCCATGGTGGTGGTCCACGAAGTCCAAACGCCGCCGCAGCGGTGGATCACCGGCGAAGGACCGGATGGAAGGGCCAGGGTGGCCGAGGTGCGGACAGGAGCGGGCTTCATTAAGCGCCCAATTCATAAATTGGCCCATCTTACATCGGATTGAAGCCCGACGTGCGCTCATTCAAGGCCGCCGGAATGTCGGTACAGCGGTCGATGCAGCCGCAAGTTTGAAAAAGTTAGTTTTAAATTGTGAAGGAAATGAATGAAGTCGCTATCCTTTATGGATTATTATGGAGCAACATAACGATGTTGAGCAACATGCGCTGCTGCACAGCTTATTGTGAATAAAACTTAGAGAGAGTTTTGAAGTACACTTGTACCAGTGACATATCACAGAAGTCTGGATACAAAATATCGTTGCTCTAGCTTTTATAGTCTCGGAGAACTAGGCGCTCATAGGGACGGACAGACAGTCATGGCTCAATCAACTCGGCTATTGATGCTGATCAAGAATATGTACACTTTATGGGGTCGGAAAAGCTTCCTTCTGGACGTTACACACATCCACTTTCACCACAAATCTAATATTGTATATGTTGTATATCACAAAGCGCTTGACTGAAAAAAAAGAAATCCTAAATAAGTGAAAAAAAAATAATCGTTAAAATACAAAAATAAATACATAAACATAAAAATAACAAGGGGGAACGTTGTGAGTTGCTGCGGAGACCGCAACTCTACATTTATACCCGATACTTAGTCAGTATGGTTCTCCTCCGGCAGACGCCGCGAATATTAAACGACACGACATAGGTGCGTGCGAGAGAGACAGAAAATCAGTCTGAGCGTGACGTCGGGCGCTGCGTAGCCAGTGCAAATTGATTTGTTCCCTTTGGTTATAAAAATGATCTGATCTGATCCAGCAACCTGATAGATATGATCGTTATCTATGATTCTGCGTTTTTAGTTTTCTCGTATCTTCAAAATTGTGGATGCCACAGATTTTCGTCCTTTGGGGGGACGGAAGGGGGTGAGGCGAAATTTCAAGATATACGTTTTATAGTGAAATCTAACAGGAGTGCGGATACCAAATTTGGTTACTCTAGCGTTAATAGTCTCTGAGATTTGTGAATATCCCCAGATTTTCGTCCTTTGCGGGGGCGGAAGGGGGTATGGCGAAATTTTGAAACAAACTCGTCTCGGTCCGATATCTTAGGAGTGCGGATACCAAATTTGGTTGCTCTAGCTTTTATAGTCTCTGAGATCTAGGCGCTAATGTTTTACTCTAAGCAAAGCCGAATATGCTACATGTGTGTTAGAGAGAGAGACAGGGCGAGAAAAAATGAAATTGTTTTCTTGATACTGGCTATAATAATAATACGATCCAATTCAGATTCTGCAGTCTTAAAGATATGATCATTCTCTACAATTCTGCGTTTTTGGTTTTATCATATCTCAAATTCTCAAATTGTGGATGCCACAGATTTTCGTCCTTTGTGGGGGCGGAAGTGGGCGGGGCGAAGTTTTGAAATATTTTTGTAGTAGTGACATATCACAGAAGTCTGGATCCAAAACATCGTTGCTCTAGCTCTTATAGTCTTTGAGCACTAGGCGCTGGAGGGGACGGACAGACAGACGGACGGACAGACGGACAGACAGACAGGTCTCAATCGACTCGGCTATTGATGCAGATCAAGAATATATATACTTTATGGGGTCGGAAACGATTCCTTCTGGACGTTACACACATCCATTTTCACCACAAATCTAATATACCCCAATACTTATTTTGAGTATCGGGTATAAAAACGGGTCATCTAGAAATTGTTCGCTATAAATAAGCCACAATTAATTATGAACATTTTTTTGTTGCGCGGCAGAACAACGTCTGTGGGTTAGCTAGTTTTATAAATATTTTAAACTATAGATTATAATTTAAAATATCTAGATTATAATTAAATTAATTAAAATATCTATAAAACTCATTCAACTTATTTATTTGTGATGTGTTCGACTATGCGAACAAAACTGGCAGTCTCTCAAATGAGAGAGTTGTTTTTATTGTGTTTATACCGTTAAAATGGTACATTATTCAACAAGTGTACTGCTTATCTACATATGTGTAGTAGCATACATGGCTGTAAAGTGGCTCAATAACACAAGTTACGGTATTGGCTTGCATTGTCAGAGGATTGGCATTGGCATCGCATAGTGATGCCAACGATGTGAGGAATGGCTGCGATCTGTGGCTGTTGGTCCGGCCACCCAGGATACATTGTCGGCTGGATTTGGCGTTGGCATCAAGGTGTGATGCTGGCATACATGGCTACATGCTGGCATCAAGGTGTGATGCCCATGGTGAATGCGAATTGGCTGCATCCGATTAGCTGCTGGTCCGGCCACCCGGGATGCATTGTCGGTGGTATTGGCTTTGGCTCGTTTGCCAGTGTCGTTGTAGCGGCTGGCCTCGTCTTTGGAGATGGTTGCTGACTTCTTGAAGTTGGAGTGACGTCACGGCCATCGTATGGCGGCAGCGTCACTGGTGGGGCCTCCAAATTTCGCCCATTGAAATTTGAAAGTTGGTTTGGTTTTTTTGTGATGACACGGTAGATCACAGCCAATCTTTATTTTTTGGGCGGGCGGTGTTAAGTGTAAGTCTTTTGTCGGGCGTGTAATATTGTGAGGCCTGCTATCTGTGCATATCAATTGTTTAGAGAGGTCAGAGGCAGTCTTGCTCAGAGTATGAAAAGGGAAAAAATGAGAAAGAGAGAGACAGCGTACCAACAGCTAGTGTAGATTTCGCGTTTGGATTGCGGGGATTACTATTATTGATTGCTGGTGTTCACTGGACGAGTGGTAGGAAGAGTGTGAGAGAGAGGGAGAGCGAGTGCGTAGCCACACTAAAAGGTTTACTTAATTTTGGCTATTATAATAACATAGGTGTTGCCATCCTTATTTCTAGGTTTGCAAATGAATATAATTTGAAAATTTTTTATTTCTTTTCAGTAATGAAATTGAACGACATCGATCAAAAATTTTGGAAATCAATTCGTTTATCGAAATTCTGACTGAAGCTATGGCTTTGTTACCCCATGATATAAGAGAAGAACTAGCTGCCGAGGAATACGTTGTTTAAACGTTGTTTTAGAGACATCAGAACCGGTGTTGAAATTTATGTTATCAATATTACCTTACCAAACCCCTCATTATGCGTTGAAAAATTTTTTGCATGAGATTGTATGAGAACTTTGGATATTTTTAATAGACCAATTTGATAGAATAGCCGAATATCTTAGAATTCAAAATTTACAAGTGCTCAAAAATTTACTACACGTAAATCAAACTACTTTTGTCTATTTTATTCGGTGTATTAATTTTTAGCATTAGTCAATAAATTATCAGGCATGTAAACTTAATTTTCAATTTAATATTTTAATGACGTTTTTTGCCAGTTTTGTCATCGATATGTTGATTTCGTAATTTTTTCTGAATAATAAAAAGGTCTGACTTGGTATTTATCTTTTCTTATTGTAGGGACAAGGTTTGTATGAAAAAATATGTTATATATTTGTTTATTATTTTATATATTAAAAATACTTGTTGGATAAGAGTTCTCCGTTGTTAGATTTAAATTTAGTGGTTTATTGTTCGATGTTTCATTGAACAATTTTTAGAGGACATGGCAGTAACTTCGAGTTTTGATGCTAAACTGTAGAAATTTTAAGTAATGGAAAATGATGTTGAGCTCTCGTTCGATGATCATTTTTACTGGCTCTCGTTTAATGATAAATTTGACTGCACTGAGAAACTAGTTAAGTCTATTCATTGTCATTAAGTCTATACTGTTAATTGTTGCATCGCCCTATCAGGACCTTCATCCTCCGACGAGAGCTGCGATAGAGGATCACCTGACGTAGAATCGCCGAGACTAAGACCCAAATGCTATTGACCCTGTACCGTTGATTTCTTTGTAATCCTAGTCATTTGAAATTCACTCCAACCCTTTATACTAGTATCTATTAACAGCGACAGTGTATAATGTTACCGTTTATTGTTATTTTTTTATATTATGTATTATTAAAAAATATTATGTATTACAAAAAAAACGAGGGTGAACGTTGTGAGTTGCTGCGGACACCGCAACTCTACGGTTATACCCGATACTAAGTCAGTATGGCTCTCCTCCGGCAGATGGCGCTAATATTTAACGACACGACAAAGAGTGCGTGCGAGAGAGACAGAAAATCAGTCTGAGCGTGACGTCGGGCGCTGCGTAGCCACTGCAAATTGATTTGTTCCTTTTGGCTATAAAAATGATCTGGGGGTGGGGCGAAATTCTGAGATATACGTTTTATAGTGACATCTGAAAGGAGTGTGTGTACCAAATTTGGTTACTCTAGCCTTAATAGTCTCTGAGATTTGTGGTTGCCTCAGATTTTCGTCCTTTGCGGGGGCGGAAGGGGGTGTGGCGAAATTTGGACAGGAAACGGTCAAGGTCCGATATCACAGGAGTGTGGATACCAAATTTGGTTGCTCTGGCTTTTATAGGCTCTGAGATCCTTGAACTCATATTTTGCAATTGGCAAAACCGACCATGAAACCTGTGTGTTAGAGTGAGACAGAGCGAGAAAGAGTGATATTGTTTTCGTGATTCTGGCTGTAATAATTATACAATCTGGTTCAGATTTTGCACTCTAGAAGATATAGTCATCTTCTATGATTCTGCGTTTTTAGTTTTCTCATATCGTCGAAATTGTGGATGCCACAGATTTTCGCCCTTTGTGGGGGCGGAAGTGGGCGGGGCAAAGTTTTGAAATATTTTTGGAGCAGTGACATATCACAGAAGTCTGGATCCAAAACACCGTTGCTCTAGCTCTTATAGTCTTTGAGCATTAGGCGCTGAAGGGGACGGACAGACGGACAGACGGACAGGGCTCAATCGACTCGGCTATTGATGCTGATCAAGAATATATATACTTTATAGGGTCGGAAACGATTCCTTCTGGACGTTACACACATCCACTTTTACCACAAATCTAATATACCCCAATACTCATTTTGAGTATCGGGTATAAAAACAAAAAAAACTGTGTAAATATTTTCAAATTGCGATCTAAATTTACGCTTCTGAAAAAGCTCAGTAGTACGGTACAAAAACCTTCGCATCAAACCGCTCCTTCAGCCATCTAGAAAATAAAGCATATTTATATATGCCCCCAACCCACGCTTAACACGAAATCTCTTCCCCCTTCTAATACGCTAAAAACCTCGTTCTTAGGTTAGGTTAGGTTAGGTTGAGGCGGCTGCCGGGCTCGCTCGGAACTCGTCACACTTAGGCCGGTTTCGGCCCGTTGTGATACCGCATAGGATCATTCCTTCCTGCGTTGTGAGACTTCGTGTCAGCAATTATCCCATCCAGATGCTCTCACAAAGTTCGCTATCCTCAGCCCAGGTGCTGTAGCCTTCTTCTGCTGAGAGCTGGGCAGGAGCAGAACAGATGTTCCACTGTCTCCTCCTCTTCCTCGTCTCTACAGCTGCGACAAAAATCGTTATATGGGGCCCCCAGCCTGTTAGCGTGGGTGCCTATTATCCAGTGTCCCGTGAGGGAACGTGTGACTACGCTGCACCTTTTCCTGCTTAACTTCAGGAGCTCGGAGGTGCGCTTCATGTCCATGGTCGGCCATGTTTGCCGAGTTGTGCGACATCGTGGCACTGTTTGCCACATATCGTTTTTTAGTCGCCAGATCTGGCCAGCTCGTCCGCTATACAGTTGCCCTCGATGTCCCGGTGGCCCGGGACCCAAATCAGGCTAATAGCAAATTGCTGAGCCATCTCGTGCAGAGATTTGCGGCAGTCTGCCACGGTGGCCGAGTTCGAGGAAATCGCGCTTAGCGATTTGCCGTAACGGCAGCCGCTTGTAGGCAATCTAGAGCCTCCCTGATTGCTATGACTTCCGCTTGAAAGACACTGCAATGATCTGGGAGTCTGAAGAATGCCTTATGTTGAGCTGTTCAGAGTAGATTCCCCCTCCGACTCTGTCGTCCAGCTTTGATCCATCTGTGAAGATGTTTATGGCCCCATCTGGGCCTGGGAGTCCCTCGAGCCATTCGTCTCTGTGAGGGATGATTGTGTCGAAGGGAGTGACTGTGTACTCTCTTGGAACTTGGTAGTCTGTTTTTGAGGGGACGGTACTGCTATTATTTAATATGGCTGAGTGACCTATGCACTGTGTCACCCATTGATCTGAGTCTCTTAGACGTATTGCTGCTACTTCAGCCCGTTCCTTTCCTGCGAGGTCAAGGCTCTGTAGGCATAGGATGGCATTTAGCGCATCATTTCGGGTGGTGCGAAGAGCTCCGGTAATACATAGGGCGGCAGTCCGCTGGACTTTGCACAGTTGCTTGGTGATCGCCCTTTTTGATAGGGCCGGCCACCACACCGTAACTCCGTAGAGTAGTATTGGTCTAACTATAGCTTGATATATCCATTGGACGATGCTTGGGATCATACCCCATCTTAGCCCAATAGCTTTTTTGCATGTGTAGTGCGCAGTCATTGCCTTCTTCACTCTGTCTTTGACATTCAGGTTCCAGCTAAGCTTCTTGTCAATTACCAACCCTAAGTAACTGGCCCTGTCGCTAAAGGAGAGCCTGCATCCTTGTAGTATTGGAGGGTTGAGGGGCGGGACCTTGTATTTATTTGTGAATAATACGAGTTCCGTTTCTGAGGGATTTACTCCCAGACCGCGCGATTCTGTCCAATCCGACAGTTGCGCTAGCTTTGTGGTCATTAAGTCGCACAGTGTTTGAGGGTATTTCCCCGAGAAGATAATCGCAACGTCGTCCGCATAGGCCACGACTTTGCAGCCCCCCCCCCCTCCCCTTCTAGGTCACATAGAATCTTGTTGACTGCTATGTTCTACAGAAGAGGAGACAGGACACCACCTTGCGGGGTGCCTCTGTTGACATAGCTTGACTAGGCGGACGATCCCATCGATGATGTCACCGTCCTGCATGTGAGCAATTGATCAATGAGCATCACCAAGTGACGGTCCACACCCAGGTCAGTCAGGGCTTCTGTAATGGAGATGTACCGTCTCGATGGTTGTGCATCCTGGGAAATGCGTGTCTATTAGAATGTGCAGGGACTCCTCACTGGAGTTAGTCCACGTGCCGTCATTCCTTTTAAGATACCCTACCGAGGGGTTAGTTTTTGAGAGAATCTTGCGAAGCCTTGCGGCCTCTGACGTTTCCTCAATTTCCGAGCAAAATTGTTGCCAAGAGGCCCTTTTTGCTTTCCTTGTTTCCTTTTTATATAGTGACACACTGATTTTGTAGTCTGCCCAGTGGCTCTCCTCGTTCGCGCTTTTGGCCCTGTTGAAGAGTGTCCTGAAGCTTTTACGTAGAATGTCTATTTGTTTTGACCACCAGCGGGGTTTCTTTTTCACCCTAGGTTTGCTAGAGGGGCATGCTGCCGCGAAGGCTTTGTTGCATGCTTCTGTGAACCTGTTCACTAGGCGATCTAGGTCGTCTTTTGTGTCCGGGCATGATGGTGCTTTGGAGGGGAGTAAGTCCTCCAGGGCTGAGCTATATTTTTCCCAGTTGGCTTTCCTGGGATTAATATACTCCTTAGGTTTCGGACACTCGAGGGATAGTGTGGTCTCGATGTATCTGTGGTCAGAGAAAGAGTGGGCTTCAAGGACTTGCCAACTCTTGACTATGTCTAACAGGTTGGGAGACACTGAGGTGATGTCAATAACCTCCTGTCGATTTTTAATTATAAAAGTGGGGTCGTTGCCCCGATTACAAATAAATAGATTTGAGTTAAGGATGAGCCTGAAAGCTCCCCCATTGAGTGTTGTGAGCGTTGGCATCGCAACCTATTAGTACGTCTATGTCCGACCTCTCGCTGTCGCTGGCTCGTTTGCGAACAAGGTCGTTGGGAGGATCGTTTTCCTCATGGGCCATGTAGGACGACATCAGCCTTAGATGTGTCCCTTTCAGCTCTAGGCTTGCCGCCGTGTTGTCGCTATCGCTATAATTATGGAGCAGAAAGATATTAAGGTGCTTTCTGGCGAGAATGCAGGTGCGGGTTTTACCTTCATGTTGAGCTACAATTATCTTGTACTCCTTCGACCCTAGTCCACAAGCCTTGTCTCCCACTATCCAAGGTTCCTGGATCAGGGCTACGTCTGCTCCGCTCTTTTCGAGGCGGAATATAAGAGCAGCGGAGCTGCGAATAAGCGGACATCCCTAGGGAGAGAACCGAAAATAAGCAGCCCCGGACAGCCAGCGGGTGTTCGCGA